TCCCATGCATCTCTGCACTTTTTTAATGTTTTTCTAAGTGAGAAACTACTTTACTACTCTATGATCAATGCCTTGTGATTTCCTCCATGAAACTGTGCTGTGACTGTGACTGTCTCTGAGCAAGTTGTGTCAGCTATCACTTTTTTTAAAGTAGCACTTATACAAACTCAGCACAGTGATATCCTCAGTCTGATAGGTTGTGTAGCAGCACCCCTTTATATAAATTTGCATAGGTCACATCTTATCCAGAGACAAATTACTGTCTGGGCCTGGTGCTCCGGCTAAATATCTAAAGGGACCATCTGTGAGCCGGCAGGGAGATCAAGAGATCTCCCTGCTTCCACACACTTAATCGCTGGACAGGCCACAGAACACACTCTGAATCATTAAATGAGTGCCAGAATTGTGAGGGAGTATCTCCTCTGGACTACCAGGGATAACACCCACTCCTGCCACAGAGAGGAGCACATGTTAAACATTCCCCCTAGTCTCTCCCTCATGACACAACACAGACTGCACTGGACACATAACACACAGCCTTTCCCCATACAACTCTTAGCCTCTTACACACACACATACACACAACACTCAGTCCCCCTCCCCCATATATACATATATGTACAACACCAGTGGCGTACACACAATCCATGAGGCCCAGGTGCGAAACTGATCCATGCCTCCTGTCCCCCCAGCCCTCCCTCTCCCCCTTTCTCACCCCCCAACAGACACACACACACACATACATACAGACACACATATATAAACACATACCCACAGACACATACATACAGACACATGTATACATAGAGACACACACACATAGACACATACAGACAGACAGACAGACATACAGACACATGCAGACAGACAAATACCTACAGACACATACACACATACATACACACAGAAAGACACACACAAGACACACATACATACAAAGACACATACATACACACAGACACACACAAATACACACAGACACATACAGACAGACACACACATACACACAGACAAACATACATACACACACACACACATACACAAAGACAGACAGACAGACACATACACACATACAAAGACACATACATACACACACAGAGACAGACATACACACAGACACATACACACATAAAGACAGAATCACACACAAAGACACACATACAAAGACACATACATACAAACAGACAGGTACACATACATACAGACAGACAGACACACACACATACACACTGACACATACAGACAGACACACACACAGACACATACATACAGACATACACACATAGACGCACAAACACATACACACATGCATACAAACACACACACATACAAAATGTTTAAGTCACCCTCCTGTTTCCTACTTTTTATGTGCAGGAGGGTGACTTTCCCTGGTGTCCAGTGTTGGCTCAGTTTGATGGGAGTCAGAGTTCCCACTCTGACTCCCTCTTTTTCCTCTTGAACCTTCGGCCCCTGCGGTTTGCTGCACGGGCCGGGACGCAAATCAAGGTGGCAGGTGCCTGGTCGCTGGGGTCCGCAGGGCGACCAGACCCCCTGGAGTGACGAGCCTGGTCGCAGCTGCGACCCCTGCGACCCCTGCGACCCCTATTTGTACATCACTGTACAACACTTAACCACCACATACAACACCAACAAGGAGAAGGCCCTTATCTGGCATCCTACCTAGGGCCCTAAGCAATGTTATTTCTTATTTTCTTATATTTTAATGTTTAAGCACATTATAGAACAAATTAAAGCCACTATTTGTTTCAGATTCTCTGCAAATCTGCAGAGATACAGCAACCAAAGACTATCAATTTGGCCTTATTTTGGCCTCATCAGCAAAGTGTAGCTGACAATCCTCTAGGCACATTGAGCACAGGGTCCACATCTGGATTACCATTTTAACTTGGGGAGAGCCACGTTAATGCATTGCAACAAAAACAAAGAATATGAGAACTCTGAGAACAGACAAAAGCTTAGAGAAACTCAGTAGCTGACCTTAGGTACGTCCCCGCTTAGGTCACAAGATCATTTTTGCTCACTTGTGCCATTACAAAGAGAACATATTCCAAGACCCATTAAATTGTTCCCACCCATAAGGGCACGCGAGATACAGCAAGCCCGGACGATTGTTTCAGCATTCCTTGGGCCTCATCAGCGAGGTCTAGTATATACCCCTCTAGATTAATAACTGACTTACTACCATAACAAAGAGCCCTTCCTTTGCAACAATGTTTCGCCCCACACACAATTTTATCCATTGTTTTTCTATTTTGTTTGCACATCTTCTTCCTTGTTTGCAGGGCCGTGAAAGTATACATGATGTTTTCAAAGCAGTACCAATCAATACACCTTATCATCATGTTCTGTATCTCCTGTCTCTATCTCTATAAACACATTATTTTGAAGAACTGATCAGGAAATAGCAACCCGCATCTGTTTCCTTGCCTGACCCCAAAAATGTTAATAAGGACAAACTGTAAAATGCACATTATGTATAAATCTCAGTAGTTTACCTGAATATAAATGAATGATCTTGCATTGAAGAATTCCACAAAGAGTCAAAATGCGCTTATTCAGTAAACCTTTCATTAAGGGCAACACGGAACTCAAACATTATATTTCAAACCACCTGAGGGCCATCTTCAGACAAGTGATTCTACATTGATAAAGGGCCCTGCTTGAACCAAACATCTCACTTGCCCCAATAAAAGAAGTAGAATGGAGGATGAAGATTTTAACTCCTAGTGGAATGCTGCATGGAGTATTTGTTAAATCTTATTCAGAAGTGTTATCCAGTTTTTCATTTGTGTTTAATATACCCAATCAACTTGCATTAGATTTAAAGTGAAGAGCAACAGCAATCTTCAACAACATGATGTTCGCTGGGATGACTGTGCATAGACTGGATGCTTAATGGACACAAGGACCGGTGAAATGGATTTGTGATATAGCGTATGTATATAAACCAAATGTGGCCTAAATTTAGTCAGCAAGTGTGACAAAAAAAAGCTGTAGAGGGCATAAAACATGGAAATCTGCACCATATATACATAAAAAAACAAAGAAAAAATACAATACAAACGGAACATAAAGTCAGTAGTCAAAAATATTGTTTTTCTTTCCAAAGTAGTAGATGAAAAGGTCCCCATCTAAAAGAAAAACTCTGTGATAGGAAGAAAAAATGGGGGCACAGAGAGAGGGGAATTGATAATGAAGTAGTTTCAAATAAATTTTATTAGTGAAAGTAAAAATACAAACACAAAATATAGTATATGCACTGGCATACTATGGTATACCTGTATTCCGAACACTATAGTGTCCCTTTCTCAAAATTATTAGGTCCCTCCCTACTGTTCTACATGTAAAGGGTTAAAAACGTGTTATATTCCAATAATTCCAGGTTTCCTCCCGCAATGTCACGGAGCTGGCTTGACGTAATTCACGTAGAAACATAGAATGTGACGGCAGATAAGTATCATTCGGCCCATCTAGTCTGCCCAGTATAATAAAGCCCTGCGCATTAAGGCTCCCCCATAGGAAAACACTGAATCAATGCTTTCCTATGTGGAATTTGAAGATGTTAGACGTACCCAGGCAAAGCACGAGGATGTCCAACGTCATTTTACAGAGTAAAACTCTGTTAGGGAGCAGAAAGCACCTCTAGTGGCTGTCAGGAAGAGGTGGACTTAACCCTGCAATGTAAACATTGAAGTTTCCCTGAAACATTGAATCAATGTTTTCCTATTTGAAGATGCTGGATATTGTAATGCACAACATCCAGCGTTGTTTTATGGAGTCTAACAATGTAAAAAAGCAGGAAGGGCCTCTAGTGGCAGTGCGGTAGACAACCACTAGGGGTAGTGTTGGCACTGTAATAAAAACATGCAGGGACACTGCGCTTTGACCATTTCAATGAGCATCAGTGGTCTGGGTCCCTTTAAGGAAAAACTACAGCACTAGTCATAGCTGAGTTTAAGATTTGTTTTCAAATTGGTGTATTTTGGTTTCTTAAATAACACTGCCGGTTTGTTTGTTTTTAACTTTTGAAGAACTATTGGAATCAAAATGTCATGCAATGATTTTACAGATGATGAAAAGTTCCATTAATATTAAGCCAGACCCTTAGAGTGACTTTTTTGTGGGGGGGTGGGGGAGATGGAAAACAAGGTTTAATAAATGAAAATGAAATTTTTTTAAAACATTTTTTAAAATGTTAATGCAAAGGCAGAATATGCTAATAAGCCTATTTATTATCTAATGCAAAGTCTGGTTTTCATTATGTGATTTAGTTAAGCCTGTAGTTAGCCAAGGGTCATAGGCATCATAGTCCATTCATTGTTTAGCACATGCAGACTGACTACTGCTGACCCTGAGAGTTTCCAAGGTCACGTTATTAAACTGAGCAAGTCAAACCATTAGAGACACTCAACCGACAATGGATGAAGCTTAATAGCTTGTTTTATGGAAGGGTACAAAGTGGAGAACTGCAAAATTGTAGCTTCCATGCCATCAAAGATGAAAATATACATTTAATGCATCACGGGGCACCCATATCTCGGGACAGAGCTGGGACATCCATTTCCTACCCAGCCTGTCCAAGGTATAAATGACCTTACAGACCTAAATTACATAAATGAGACTCAGAAAGGCATTGGAAACATAATCAAATGTAAAAAGAAAGAGAACATCATTTTTTTTCGGTTAGTTAAGAATATCTGTTTATTTTTATTGCTTCATTTTTTTTAGATATATTTGCATTTCCAGTCAATGATTGCTCAACACAGACAGTAACACTGGTGAAGATTTCAGATACATTTTAAGAAATAACTTCTAAGCACTCCAGGAAGTCCTGATGATCCTATCATTGCGGTAAAGTTTACACTGGAGAAGGGCCATGTGTCTACTGTGTGGGTCTGTATCGGAATTTCCCTCAGTAGGAATTTCCCTGAAGCTGTGTTCACTCCAGTGACCAGGTGATGGGAAGTCCAAATGGTTACCAGAGAGAGTGATATAAAAGGCAAGGCAGCGGGGTCCCACACTATACAGAAATAGCCCTACGCTGACTTTGAATAATGACTCAGAAGCTGTTTGTCGCTATTCTCTTGGTTGCCCTGATTAGCCTGGTGGCTATGGAACCAGAGGTGAGGACTTATTAGAGCAGGGATACATCCAGAGCTAGGAGATCATTATTATTAATTGAGATAATAGAGGACTAATGCAATTTTACACTCTGGCAGTTTAAATTGGATTGCATGCTGTGTACTCTGTAATATAAAATACCTGTGTAGTGCTAAATAAGCTAGAGTTTAACACGTTGTGTGTCAGATTGGAATAGTTGGTTGGAATCGATGGTTTAGAACAGGGGTGCCCAAACAGTAGCTCCCCAGATGTTGTAGAACTACAACTCCCATGATGCTTTGCATGCCTTTAGAATGGCAACACATCGTGAAAGCTGAAGTGTTAAAACATCTGGGGATCTGTCTTTTGGGGACCTCTGGTTTAGAGGGTAAACATTTTAAATGATATCTTGTTATTCTTGTTGCAAAAACTGTTATAGAAATAGGCGCAAAAACAAACAAAAAAAAACCAATTGGGTTCAGTATTTGAGAATATGCAATGTAACTTCGGTGCATAGTTTAAGAAGGCGAATACACAGCTCTTTAGGAACTCTAATTAAAAGTGAATGGGGCAAGGATGTTAATGTATCAGAGAGCGTAAATTTATCAACCAATTCTAAGAGGGTTTATCTCCAGGCACAACATTTTACTAAATTGAAAACAGAATTGCAAAATGTTAACAAAACTTTTGATTTGGAAAAACAAAATCCCCAACTCTGCTAATTGCTAAGTTTTTTTAATTCACTTTTAATTTCACCACAATTCACTGTTTAGTGAATAAACCTTAAATGTTGTTTTTTGTCATTCCTGACATTTAACAATCACATGTAGAGAGTTATTCACTAATTTTTGAATTGTTAGGAATTCAAAGTGAACGTCAAAATGTAAATAATATTAGCTAAATTTAGAAAATCACGCTGAGTCAGTCATGTTTACATTTACTGCTATTTTGGTATAGAATTTTAAATTCGCTTTGAATTCCCCATAATTCATATTAGTAAATAACCTTGTAAGAGTCGAGAGACAGGAGTCAAATGTCATCCCTATAGAAGGCCCACGATGGAAGGAAGTATTCCCTGAACAGTGAATTGTGTTAAAATGAGAGGAGTATTTCCAAATTCAGCTCTGGTTCCTTTTTATCCACAAACCACGAGTCACGGTTAGTTCACAGCTGGTTTAGGTAAAGTTCAATACTTGTGGCTTTGGCCTAAATTTCGTAAGTCACTTTCCAACTCACAACTCACTGTTTTATGAAAAAATATATTTTATAAATGTAATTAGAGAAAGGGACTGCGTTATCTGTCTTTGTTGATACACTATTCTCTACATTACATATAGACTTTATTCACTAACGTGTGCTTTATCAATAATTCAAACTGAATTCAAAAATAATTTTCAGCTTTCAAAAATAATCAAAACTGAATCATTTTCAAATCTGTTCTTTTGGTCTAGAATTTAAAATGCACATTTAATTCCTGACAAATCACACTTTAGTAAATAATCTGACATGAGTAAGTCGATTTTTGGGGGGAGCAAGAAGAAGAGAATTTTTTAAAATGCACGACAAGCTATGAAAACACACATTTAGACTGCACAACACAGCAATTTTGTATTCATTCTGGCTTCTACGAACTACTTTACCCCATACGTAAGAGCTACTGGTCTGACCCAAGACCTACACTTACCCAAAACTAGCAAACGGCTAGATTTTTTATGATTACCGAGGTCACATGGGTAAAAAAAAAACCTTGCCTTGTACAGTTTGGCAGCCAGAATAGCTTTTCATTTATAATGCAGGAGTTGGGTAAGCCACAAGGGGCACTTCCACCTTAATGTTTCCTTATTTATTTTAATTCTGTATAGGATGCCGAAAATAAAATAGAATTTGATAACTCTGTGTATCCTCAAAGTGGCGTCTCAGAGGTAAGCATGGGGCATGCGGGAAACGATAATGTTTTATTAGCATGTTAAACACTACAATAACACGCACACTATTAGCAAGCTGCCCTATTATCGTGCTGTATATGTAACTATTTGTAAGGTTATGTTTGTATTAGGAAAAAGCAAAAAGGAGAAATTAATGCATCATTTATTATTTAAAGATGACTTATAGCAATGTAAAAATGTAGTTACGACAGTATCCAAAAATATTCCAGGAGCCTGTTATGGGATGTGACCTTTTTAAAAGGGGAGAGTCAGTCCAATGACCACGTGCTCTGGTTCTTATAAGTTCGGCAAGCCAAGAAGACAGACCAGCTGTCCACAAAATACTCCAGATATGCAAACATAGGAAATTGTGTGACAAAATCATTTAACTGGAGTGATCACCATGGAAACCAATAGAATGTTTCTATTTATTGATAAACATTTAGAACTCTGCCCAATCATTACCTTTTACTCAGAAACCGTATGGTATCAAAACCAGACACCACAGCCATTATTGAACTGCACATCACAAGGTTCTCGGAAAGTCATCCGGTTGAGAATTATGGGAAATATAGTCCAACAATAGTAAGACAGCTAAAACTAAACAACCTTAATTTAAAAGCTTTTTGTACATGTGCTTTGTAGTTGGTTTCATCGATTTTCCAACTTCTATGTGACATTAAGGATATACATCAGTGGGGCTTGAGTTTGAAATCTCTGTTTGTAGCTGTCTGCTATGGCACTGCGTATAATAGTTCTGCAAAAATACCTTGCAAATTGTTCTGCAAAACAGAACAGTGCATCCAAACAGCTTGCCATATGTAAAAAATATGCATCTTAAAGAGCTTTTAATTGATTAGATAACAATCTTGGTTGAAAAAACACTCAAGATCATCAAGTTCAACCTTTAGAGGGACACTATATTCACCAGAATAACTACAGCTTATTGTATTTGTTCTGGTGAGTAGAATCATTACCTTCAGGTTTTTTTGCTGTAAACACTGTCTTTTCAGAGAAAATGCAGTGTTTACATTACAGCCTAGTGATAACTTCACTAGCCACTCCTCAGATGGCTGTTAGAGATCCTTCCTGGGTCATGGCTGTCTAGAATGCATCCAAACATTCAGTGTCTCCTCCATCTGCATGCAGACGCCGAACTTTCCTCATAGAGATTCATTGATTCGATTCATCTCTATGAGGAGATGCTTATTGGCCAGGGCTGTGTTTGAATCATGCTGGCTCTGCCCCTTGTCAATCTCAGCCAATCCTATGGGGAAGCATTGTGATTGGATCAGGCTACCACTTCTGGTGATGTCAGCACACTGCTTGTTTTTCTGAGTCAAACAGCATGCAAATCTACAGCTTCAGGCTTGAATACAGTGAGATTTTTATTATATTTATGGAGGCATGAGGGACCCAGGGGGGTTAGAAGGTGGTTTTAACACTAAAGGGTCAGGAATAAATGTTTGTGATCCTTTAAAATTGGTGCATCCCACAATATTGTCCACAGTGCTTGCAATCTATTGTATACCTGACATATTCTAGAGAACTTGCCGTTTGATCTATACTTTATAGCAGGAGTAGACAACCTTCGTCCCCCCACATGTGGTGGACTACATCTCCCCTGATGCTATGCCAGCAATATAGCTTTAAAAGCATTGTGGGAGAAGCAGTCCACAATACCTGGAGTGACAAAAGTTGCCTACCCCTGCGTTAGAGTATTACATTTCACTTTGTGTTCTAGAGAGCTTGTGTTGCACAGCAATGTCATTAAATTGTATTACATTCTTCAATGTATTCTAAAAAAAAAAACTAGACATCTCTTTTTATATTAGATATCTATTTAAAAAAAAAATTGCCTTTTGAGCTATACCTCACAGTGCTTTGTAAAGAGCTTGTGTTTATCATACATACATGATATTAAACTGAATTACACCCCACAATGTATTCTAGAGAGCTTGCAATCTCTTTTTCTCTGCACATTGTATTCTAAGATCTTGCAGTTGCTGTATCCTAAACTGCTTGTAATTTGTTATTTGATAGAAAGGGGGTAGGAGAATAGATTTGCAGAGGGCCCATTGTCATTAAAGATCGACTTGCTTGTATTATCTGTTTGCTGAGAGATAGATACAGAAGGGATGCTTTTGGCTTCCATGTGATATGCAAATGAAGCTTTGAGTTCCTGGCATTGTGCATCTGATTCTTATTTATACATTTACATGGCCACACAGATATATTTGCAATGGGGAAAGCATAATGCATTTAAATTTGGTATTAACTAAATGTCGATGAAACCTACAATTCTGCATTAGCATCTGTTGAGCAGTGACTTGTAGCCAAGTCCTGCTGGCAGAATGGATGCTGGGAGCAGGTACGCACAGTGTGAATGTACTTAGCAAGTCAGATCCGAAGGTAAAACTATACAGACTGGAACAAGGTAGCGAAACCAAGGGAGCCTGCAGTGCTTCCAGCCCTCCTTAGTGAACATAACAGTCTGTATATTTATTTGGAAAAAAGCCTCATACCTCCTCACCGCCTCATTTTTGGAGTTGTAGAAATAAGACTCATTTCACAATTTTTGATGAAAGAGTCTTGTTAAGTGCATTAACACATTTGTATCATTTGCAAAGGGTTGCGGTGCAGAGAGTACCTTGCGCTGAATGTCTCTGCTCAGAGCCACTTGTAAATGCAACAATATGTGCTGTATGCTGTAGTTATCAGACAATCCCCATGCAGCCAGAATCAACCAGTTCAAAAATTGTTTAACAATTCAGATTTTCTTGAACGAACACTTGTATGATAGCTTGTGGTCGACATTCAGAAAACTCCTCCCATTACGCACACATACACTTGGGTATTCCTCTTGTGTTGCTGTATATGTGCAAACTTCATGGTCATAGCATATTGCGAATTCCATGAATTGGATGAATTACAAGGCAGAACCGTGGTAATCTAAAAAAACTAAAATAATAATAATAATAATAATGAAAAAATAAAATAAAAACGTATGATGCATGCTTAACAAACGTTTTACTCTTTTATTGTATAACAATCGCAAACTCAAAGTGTTTCTTATAGTCATGTCAAGACATTCACATGCAGACAGCAAAGCGTAGCTGGCATAATGTTTCATGATCACGTGAACCTTTTTTTTAAATAATATCATTTATTGTATTAAAAATTCAGCATTTATTGTATTTTTAATAACTCAGGGTCTTGTGTATTGTTAGATGCATAAATCATTAAAACGGTAAGTATTTAAAAAGGAGAATGGCTCAGTTGCCCTTATATTCACAAATAAATAACTGCTCAGTTAGATCAACACATACAAAGTGCTAGAGAAAAAAAGAAAAATATAGTTAGGTGAATAGACTTGTCAAAGAGAGATGTGGGTACCACTAGACCTAGTAAAAATATTAAAATATTAAAGAAACACTGTAGAATTAGGAAAACATATCTGCATTCCTAACACTACAGCTTTGGTGCCCCTGTACAATTAGTCCCCGCACCCCCTGTAATCTTAAAATAAAAACAAAATTATTAAGTTTCAAACAAATTGCTCACCCTTCTCCAGTGCCGAGTCTTCCTTGGCGAGATTCCATGACTTCCACCTTCAGTGACATCATCCTGGACGTCCTGGCGTGTCAATCCAATGCTACTCTTACAATGATTCTCTATGGTCGAACCATGACGGTATATTACAGAATGAGAACCGTGAAATAAGGTTCCCGTTTCTCATACCCAGAGGGTTTGGAGGTGTGCCTTGATGCCGCGCTTCTAAGCCCTCTAATTACTTAACTAAGGGCTTTGGTGGGTAGGTGAGGGAAACAGGACTGGAGGCACTCTGACAATTTCATTAATATGAACTTGTCAAACTGCCTACAGTGTCCCTTTAACTGGAACCTTTAACTGCCTGGAATTTTTAGCAGTATGTGAACTTTTTCCCTATATTTAACAAATAATCATTTGTAAGGTTTGAAAATGAAAATTGAATTCATACTGAAATATATACTTCTATCTTGAAACTTGGTCTCGCTAGCTCGCTACCAATCATTATTTTAAGTTCTGTAATTTGTGCTCGGCAGTCAGCATGGGAGATATCAACATCTGAGGTTTATTGTTGTGGAGCTCTGTGATATGCTCTGTGACACAATTATACACATGGCACATTACAGTGAGTTTTATTGCTCAGTAGTTCTGAAGTACTCTTACACACTAAACATTACAGCGAGTTTCATTGCTCAGTAGTTCTGAAGTACTCTTACACACTAAACATTACAGCGAGTTTTGTTGCTGTGGATCTCTGGGATTCACTCATATACACCTCCCATTCCTGTAAGTTCTTACTGTGCAACTCTACAACACCACATATTATAGGTATTTCTGTGGTATTGCTGTGTGATGCGATCATAAACTGTGCATTAAAGTGAATTTTATTGCATGTGGAGTTCTTTGATACAATCAGAAACAGTGTATTACTGTGAGTTTTATTGCATGTGGAGCTCTGTGATACACTCTGACTGTTAGTATCTAATTCATAATCAAATATTTCTTACTTAACTGATGACATGCTAATTAGATATATGTATAGTATGAGTTTGCTGTCAATTAGCTAAGGGTCTGTGGGGCTTGTTACTTACATTTAATATGAGTGGCTGAATATGTGTTTAATTGGCTAATTAAGTACATATTAACAGATAATGTTATATGTGTGTATATACATGTATTTGATTAGTTATGTGGGCAATACGTCAGATGGTGCGGTTTAGTGGGCTCGGTAGGGCTCCATTTATTTCTGAGACCCAGGTTGCAAAATGTCTTAGGTCAACCCTTGTGAGAGATCATACATTAAGTGTTTGTTTTTTTCTAAACAGCTTATTGTCTACAACAAATATGACAATAACTATGTGTCCATTCTCTAAAATGGCTTCTTTTTGTTTATTAAGTTGACAAGCATAAAAAGTGACTCAGATACCACAAGTCTTCTCCAGAAAAGCAATGAGTTCTATTTTTCATCAAACATTATAATAACACAGTGGAGGTAAATATATGTATTCTGTCTGTCATGGAAGACCTTTAAATACTTGACACGCAAGCAGGACTCTAAACACCATAACCACTTCTGTTCAGTGTGGTGGTCATGTTGCTGAAACTCTCTAGGCTCATCCTGTGGGGACTCTGTCAAAGCATTTGAAAATAGTTATACAAATAAACAACACACTCACCTAGAGATCTCACCCCAGCTGCCCAAATAATGCAGAATTTACTCTTCTTCCGTATTATAAATCTAGGTTTCAGCTAACTTTGATGACAGTGATAGGCTGATTGGTCAGGGTCGGGTTACAGCAGATCTTTCAGCCAATCACTGCCATCCAGTTTGGACGAATTGACATTGAATTTGTGGAAGCATAAAGTATAAATTCTGCTTTATCAGTGTTGATGAGGCGTTGTAGTCTGTAGGTCTCATGGAGAGACCCAGTTTATGTCAAACAGCTCCGTAATGGTTATACACACAAATGGGGTACAGAGACCTGAGAGTCTGGAGCTCTGATGCCTTCACACAGCTCCAGGAACCCCACTGTTCTACCAGAGTTCGTATTTGTGCCCCATTTCCTGCCCAGGTGGTAAGAAGAAGGGGGAAATTTATTTTTAAAAAGGAATTAGTGTAGAGAGCCTCGTCCCCTCACCCCGCCATACTCGCCACCACTCATCCTGCCACATACCATGTTAAACCTACCCCTTTATGCCTGTAACTATCAGCCCCCAAATGCTGTCACATTCACCCAGCTTCCCTTGCTACACTCACACCCCTCACGCTGTCACTCACTGAAAATAGTCATTGTGATACACACTCATCTCACACACATGAAACACAGCCTGACCACAAACACAATGACACATTCACACACAATAATGATCTGGCTCATACACAGGTACACAATGTTAAAAACATAGACGCACTCAGTCAAATATGTACACACACTCTCAGGCACATATACAGGTGATACTCGAAAAATTTGAATATCGTGCAAAAGTTCATTTATTTCAGTAATGCAACATAAAAGGGGAAACTAATATATGAGATAGACGCATTACATGCAAAGCAAGATAGTTCAAGCCGTGATTTGTCATAAGTGCGATGATTATGGCTTACAGCTCATGAAAACCCCAAATCCACAATCTCAGTAAATTAGAATATTGTGAAAAGGTGCAATATTCTAGGCTCACAGTGTCCCACTCTAATCAGCTAAGTAAGCCATAACACCTGCAAAGGGTTTCTGAGCCTTTAAATGGTCTCTCAGTCTGGTTCAGTAGGAATCACAACCATGAGGAAGATTGCTGACCTGACAGTTGTGCAGAAAACCATCATTGACACCCTCTATAAAGAGGGAAAGCCTCAAAAGGTAATTGCGAAGGACGCACATTAATAGAAAGTTATGTGGAAGGGAAAAGTGTGGAAGAAAAAGGTGCACAAGCAGCAGGGATGACCGCAGCCTGGAGAGGATTGTCAGGAAAAGGCCATTCAAATGTGTTGGGGACTTTCACAAGGAGTGGACTGAGGCTGGAGTCAGTGCATCAAGAGCCACCACACACAGACGATCCTGGACATGGGCTTCAGATGTCGTATTCCTCTTGTCAAGCCACTCCTGAACAACAAACAACGTCAGAAGCGTCTTACCTGGGCTAAAGAAAAACAGACCTGGTCTGTTGCTCAGTGGTCCAAAGTCCTCTTTTCTGATGAGAGCAACTTTTGCATCTCATTTGGAAGCCAAGGACCTAGAGTCTGGAGGAAGAATAGAGAGGCACACACTGCAAGATGCTTGAAGTCCAGTGTGAAGTTTCCACAGCCTGTGTTGATTTGGGGAGCCATGTGATCTGCTGGTGTTGGTCCACTGTGCATCATTAAGTCCATGGTCAATGCAGCCATCTACCAGGAGATTTTGGAGTACTTCAGACAAGCTTTATGGGATGCTGACTTTATTTTCCAGCAGGACTTGGCACCTGCCCACACTGCCAAAAGCACCAAAGCCTGGTTCAATGACCGTGTGATTACTGTGCTTGATTGGCCAGCAAACTCGCCTGACCCAAACCTCATAGACAATCTATGGGGCATTGCCAAGAGAAAGATGAGAGGCATGAGACCGAACAATGCAGAAGAGCTGAAGGCCGCTATTGAAGCATCCTGGTCTTCCATAACACCTCAGCAGTGCCACAGGCTGATAGCTTCCATGCCACGCAGTAATTGCTGCAAAAAGGGCCAAAACCAAGTACTGAGTCCATATGCATGCTTATACTTTTCAGAGGTCCAATATTGTTCTATGTACACTACTTGTTTTATTGACTGCATGTAATATTCTATTTTACTAAGATTGTGGATTTGGGGTTTTCATGAGCTATAAGCCATAATCATAGCACTTATGATAAATCACGGCTTGAACTAACTTGCTTTGCATGTAATGCATCTATCTCATATATTAGTTTCCCCTTTTACATTGCATTACTGAAATAAATGAACTTTTGCACGAAATTCAAATTTTTCGAGTATCACCTATATAGATATATAATGCTAAACACACAAACACACTCCTACACACACACACACAGACACCACTCAGCCACTACATACAATACTCATTGTAACAGAGCCCGGGGACTGGGGAAACCTTAATCTGCACCGGATCCTGGACACATTACTAGTCTGGGGCCCCCTTCATTCTTTATATAGGGATAGTTAATGGGTTCAAGCAAATTCATGTTTCCGGGGCCCCTGTCTAACCACTGGGCCGTAGGTGGCATTATGGTTCATACTACTCTGTAAATTATATAAAAAGTAATTCACTAAAAACAATTTATTAAAAAAAACAAAAACCTCACTTAATATTCCTCCTAACACTTATACGCACACCCTGTCAGACATTAATTATAAAATTATGGATGTCTTTACTGACCCACACACTTTTAAATACTCCTTTAAGCATCTGTTCAGCAACAAAGTGAGCTGATTCGTATCCACTCTATTTATACCGGCAGCAGTGAGTTCTGGGAAATGACTGAGCAAGCCTCTCTCTGACAGTCGCTGTCCTGCCAAGCTCTGCACACCAAACACAACAGATGAAGTGTGGGCAGTGACAATTTGAGCCACCCTCCCATATGCACACTGCCCTGCCAGGCCTTTCAATTTTGTTTTCAGCCTTAATTCATGAGGCACCGGTATGCCAGCAAGGGATTAACTGCTTCAGCCCTGTGGGAACACTATAATTTAATCAAGAACGGCAAAGTTATAATTACATATAGAGAAACACAGCATTCGCCCACTCCTGTCTGCCCAATATAACACTAACAGGTGTACCTAGCACTTTACATGTTATAATGGAGAGTGGCTCAGCGGTTTCTGTAGTTATACAGTGTATGTATATTCTATTTTTATAGCACTAACAGGTGTACTCAGTGTTTAACAGGTTACATTACAGTGGTGGGAGGTACAGTAGGTACACAGTGTTTGTATGTTTTCTTTATATAGCACTGACAGGTGTACTCAGCACGTTAAAAGTTACATTAGGGACACTATAGTCACCAGAACAACTACAGCTTATTGTGTTTGTTCTGGTGAGTAGAATAATTCACATTACGCTTTTTGCAGTAAACACTGTTTTTTTTTCTGAGAAAATGCAGTTTTTACATTACAGCCTAGGAATACCTCCACTGTCCACTCCTCAGATGGGTACTAGAGGTGTTTCATGGCCAGTGCTGCACACTGTGCAATACTGCCATTCAGTGTCTCCACCCTCTGCATGCAGACACTGAACTTTCCTCATAGAGATGAATTGATTCAATTCATCTCTATGAGGAGATGCTGATTGGCCAGGGCTGTGCTTGACTTGTGCTGATTCTGCTGCTAATCTGCCTCCTTGACAAGGTTTTCTAGGTGAAAGCATTGTGATTGGCTTTTGATCAACACATCTGACAATGTCAGCCAAGCAGTCAGATCAAGGGCAGAGCCAGCAGCAACAGACTGGAATAAAAGTATGATTTTACTATATTTAAGGGGGGCAAGGAGGGCTAGGGGGCTAGATGGTGGTTTTAACACTATAGTGTCAGGAATATATATTTGTGTTCCTGACCATATAGTGTTCCTTTAATGTAATAGAGGTGCAGTAGTTAAACAGTAAAATATATATTTTAATGATATAGTGCCAACAGGTGTACTTATCACTTTACTGGTTACATCACACTCTACAGGCTATATTACAGCAGAGGGGAATATAGTAGTGCAGCATATGTATATTTAAATAACACTAACAGGAAGATAGATTTTTAAAGAGGAATTGTTACTCCTTGAGAAATTGTAGCATTATATAAAATATTGAAAATCACATATAACACGTGTTATTTATTTATTTATGTGATGCTCTTTTTTTTAATTAAATTTGAAAGATTCAAGTATTGGCATTGTGTACATATTTTTTAAATATAAAGGATTAGTAAACATAATATTAAAAAGAATTCAAAGTAATGGTAAACATCTGTTCTAGTCAGATAACAGGGTAAATGCTGACTATCCGGGTTTAAACATGGGCTAGCCCTTTTACAGGTAGACATTTTTCGAGATTTTAGAACTGTAGAAGTAAGTGTTGTTTTTTGGTAAAGAAAATATAACTGGCGGAGTTCTGAAGGGCCTTAGGAAGACATACTGTGAGCTTGTTTGTGCAGGAGCCTTCTCTCCAGATGCTACTACTCGCTTTGTAACAATTAAATGCTTGTCTTGTTTCCTATTGTACAGCGCTCCAGAATATGTTGGCGCCATAGAAGTAATTGTTATTGCAGTTAATAATCATGGTATTAATGTGAACCAACGAGTATGAAGTTGTTATAGTCCATACAGGAGGGCATCCAGAAAGGCTAGCAAATTTCTGATTTAAAAAGGAGAATGAGACAAAATAACAATGAGCTATAGACAGACAGATAAAAATGTGTGTGTGTGCTTGTATAAATATACATAGAAATGTGTGTTTATAACTATACATATTGCATCAATAGGCCGTCATTAACAATATAAACTGTCATAGTTCATACCTGCTTTCCTGTTTCAATAACTGCAAACTTAGGATTCCGTTCTATCTCAGACACCATTTTATTTCACTTACTGTAGTAATATGTCTTCACACGAGCGCCTCTGAAATCCTTTAAATCCCACAAGCTAGATGCTGATATTGCGAGGTCGTAAACATGCTAATTTCTCACCACAAGAGCTGTTTCATGGTGGCATTTTCCAGCGGCATGTGAATAACGACCCCAATCCGGCGCAATGCCCCGCATCTCTCACTGTATAAAACCATACATCAATTTTATTCAATCTCTTTAAAACACATGAATATTTCACGCACAGAAATGCAAATATTTTCCATTCGGTAACAGACCGGTATTAAAGTTTGGGTGCAGGAAGAGGAGGTATGAATATAGACTCCTGCAACTTCACGCAAACAGAATATTACTGCTACTAAATGCGAGGTATTTGCATTTCTATCTCTGAAATATTTATGTAGTTTAAGCAGATTGAAAAAAAAAATCTGACATATGGTTTTATATGAGATGCAAGAAAAGTCTATTGCATCTGGGATCTTATTTACATGCACACAAACATATATTTACAGTATTTTCCAGAGTATATGTACTTCTCCCCGGCAAATATAAATAGACTATCTTGTAGATAGGAGAAATTTGTAGAACCAAATTATAATCGGCATTGAAACGATGTATCAAGCGAAGTATCACTTATACAATCCTGAGTCATAAGGTATCTAAATTAGCTTTGTTTTAAAAGTATATCATGTACAGAAATGTATTAACTAGGTTTTTGATATGTTAGATGTGCCATTATGATTAGTTCTGGTCATGAAGATTTTTTAAAGGGACGGTATAACTGTCATGGTACACAAATGTAAGTGAAATTAAAGTGCATAAAATTTAAGAATAGTTATAAAATGTATGAATTAGAAGCAAAACCTATTTGAAAATGTAATCCCTCTTCTCTGCTATCAATCAATTCTCAGCCTTGAGAAGTAAGACATTGGCATAGACCTGTAAGGTGAAAATGAGTAACAGAGATTTCTATGAAAACCCTCAAAGAGGTGGTTCTCCTGCCCTCTTTCAAAGCGACTATCGGACATGCACTGTAGTTGATGTCATATTCCTGTAGTGCACACATTTCTCAGAAGAATATAAAAATAGACTGGCAGCCGTCACTCATCCCTGCATGTGACTTGCACAGCCTTCCTAAACACTTCCTGTAAATAGTCATCTAATGTATACATTTCCTTTATTGCAAATTCTTTTTAATTTAGAATGTCTAATCTCCCGCTCTGTTAAAACTTTGCTAGACCCTGCAGCAGCCTCATGTAGGTAAATAAAGTTAAATTCACACAGCAGGATATAAAAACTCATAAAGTTACATCTGATTGAAAATTGAACCATTTTGTTTTCATGTAGGCTGTGTCAGTCAGAGCCAGGAAAGGTGTTAGGGCTGTATAAACAGAAACAAAATTGATTCAACTCCTAAATGGCAGGGAATTGAACAGTGAGACTTCAGGGACAGTTATAGAGTGTGCACAACACAGCTTCTCTTTTACTTATTACTTTAATAAGAAAACTCTGAGGAAGTCTTATATTGGATAAAACATATACAAGCTTTTTTTTTTTTTTTTTGTATGTTTTTAATTCATGTTGGATTGGAAAATAAAGTCAAATTTTGAATACCTACCCTGAGGCCAGGAGCATTATCCCTGACGTAGAATACATAAGAGGAAATCCTTTGATAACCCCCAGATATTTAAGGACCACAAGCGTTGATGTCACTTTGCAAATTCGACAAAGTCCCCAGACAGTGACAGTGCGCTTTAAATCTTTATTCTGATTAGCTCTACCTACCTACCTGAATATCTATCTACCTATCTATTGTGCAATCATACCACATAAATTACAATGTTAGGATTTAAACTGGGTGCCATAAAGAGGCTCAAACTGCATACCAATTAAATGGTTACTGTAAACAGTATGGAAAGAGTTAAATATATGGTTTAACAGTTTCACTCCCAGAACAGCCAGGAGCCATTCATTAACAGAAAGAGATATTATAACTGCATCTATATCCAGAGGGAAGGCAATGAAGCAAATAGCAGCTTTATATGTTATGTGAAAAATACTGTCATAGCAGAATTACAGGCCCTCCGGCAGCGAAAAGGTGAAACAGTATTAAATGGTTATAATTTCTGCAGAGAACAGCCACGAGGGAGCAGAGATTGAATGGGCCACAGATTCATACCCTGGAAGAACAAATGTGTGATACTGTGTGCTAATAAAGTTTGTTGACATTTTCAAATATCCCATAAAGTGTGCATCAATCCAGTCGCCACTGTACAACACTTCAGTATGTGTTGGTGCATTATAAATAGAATGAATGTTAAAATAAATTAGCAAGGCACAAAATGCAGACATATATATATAGAAACAATTGCAGCTCAACATTAGAAAAGATTAATTGTCCCTGTGGATCCTTTTGCCTCTAATCCGTTTAATCAGGCAAATCCTTTCCTGTGGGAAATATCCCATCTGTACGGTGTATTGTCACCTTTTCTGTGCTAAAAATCCAAACATAATTTTAGTAAATAGTCTCAAGGCATGAAGAGCCTTAAAGTGTTCAAAGTTTGAGGTACACAGTGGTTTATTTATACCGAACACTGAATTACAGTGAATTTATTTAACTACTAGAAAAGCAACAATTTCTGGGGAAATTGTGTGAAGTGTTCTTGCCTCCACCAGTAGTCTACAACTGGGGTGGGCGAAGTAACTGTTATTATTTATTTATATAGCACATTTAATTTCAACGTTGTTGCCCAAAGTACTTCACAGTTACATTAAAACATACATTTATAAAAACATTAGCAGGTGTTCAAAAGGCCCTGTCTATGACATCACTTGCTGCTGCAGCCTGACACAGGTCAGAGTATTTTGGCGGTTGCCATCTTCAAACGGTCATATTTTAAACACTATACATCCTACAGTGAAGAGCTTTATATTGTGAGAATCACAAGACGCAGACCTACATTTTGATGCATAGTATGTCTCTGAAGTATTAGAAATGAAGGAACAGTCGCAGTTTAGACATTGCCCTTCAAATTTGAGCTGGCTAGAGTGGAGTTTCAATGAATGTCAATGGACGGCGTGAGTTGCAAACAAATGGTCATATTGTGAAAACTATCAGGACTATGGCTTAGCCATGGACATTTTTGGTGGCAGCAGGGATAGCTGAACGTTTTGTTATAAGTTTTGTGGGCTTGAAAATGAGGAAGTGGTGGCAGTTTAGAAATCATGTCCTGATTTTTCAGCTTTTGCCAGCTCCCACTCTAGTTTTGAACATTTTGCCATTCATTCCTATGGGACCAATTTCGCCACATGAACGAAAATATTCCGTGAACCATTCGGCGAAACATTCCACAAAGTAATAGCACACTGATCGGGAACAATCCACACATTTCAGTATATTACTGTCTATATAGTGTAAAAACTGTGGGAGGAATTAGGGTGGTAAATTTGGCTATAATAAGAATAATAATAATATATATGTGAGATAACATTAAGTGGTCTTGCTATGCAAGAACACTTAATAATGGCCTGAAATGTTAAAATCTGTTATCTGTGTTACACGATTCCCAGTTTATTGAATAACTATCAACATAGTTTTGTTAGCCCCTCCAGTACATGTTTGTTGGGTGGGGGGGATTGGGCTCACAGAATGACAATCGGGCACAATATTCTTGGTTTATGGAAAGTAATATATATATATTTGTTTTTCATGTCAGTATACACAAATATTTTTTGAATGACAAAATGAGAATATCTTGCTGAGCATGTTTATCAGACTCAGTTAAAGAGCAGAATGTTTATTTCTTAAAATTGTGAAACGTGTGCTCAAGGGGTTAAGCTATGAATATGCTGTCTGCATATCCATGTGATGTGGATACAACAGGTTACTAAACTGGACTGTTTAAACCAGGGCTGAGCAAACTGTAGACTCCCAGGTGTTGTAGAACTTCAACTGCCATGATGTTTTGCCAGTCTATAGAATGGCAAAGCATTGTGGTTGTTGCAGTCCTACAACATCAGTGGATCCACTCTTTACCTAGCCCGATTTCAAACTTACTTTCATTGCTCTGATTTCATAAAATGGCACTCTGAGATCCAATAAAATTTAACTTACGTAGCCTCATTAATATGCTATATTTTTGGCATGCTCAATATTTATAATTTTTGCATTAAAAAAATAAATAAAAAATGTTAGCAGAAAGTTGCACCATAAGCCTGCCTCTTTAGCCACGCCCCCTCACTTCAGGAAAAATGCTTCCGTATCAGTGTGTACACAGCTCAGCCACTGACAGTACTGAATGATCTGAACTACAAAACAACCTGCATTATATGTAAAGGGCACCCATGGAGACATAGAGTAAGGATATCACTACCTGTTTGTAGTTTCTCTGACTGTCTGCAGCCTGGTTGCAAATTAAAAGCCACTCACTCAGTGCTGTTATGGCTGAGCCATGTGCATACATTTGATAAGGAAGTCTTGCTGGCATGAGGGGGTGTGGATTTTAGCACGCAAAAAAAATAAAATCAGCATATTAATGAGGAGAGCATCTTTCAAATGCATTAACGTTGTACTGGTGCCCAGAGTGTCCCATTAAACAATACTTATACTTTGCATTTCAGAGCTGGTCTTGACTTGCTAAAAAGAATAGTCAGTCTCTTGCAAGAATTCCAGTTAACCCTTTAAGGACACATGACGGAAATATTCCGCCATGATTCCCTTTTATTCCAGAAGTTGTGTCCTTAAGGGGTTAAACAGTCAAAAAAATATATATATATAATGAAAATTGTACACCAGGCCTACGAATAATTAAACATTCACTTCATTACTCTTTGTATAATATCCACACAAGGCGATGAATAATTTGCATAGTTATTTTATAGTACACACAAGGTTTAAATGTCCTTGATTTATTCATTAGCTGATGTTTATTTATTTTAAACTCTTGTTTTTATTTATTTATTTATTTTCATTTACGTCTTTGTTTTTTTTTCCCCACTGTACACCATTTTTTTTTTTGTTAATTATGTGTTTGCGAGTTCCTCTAGATTGTAAATTCACTTTAGCTGGTTCTTCATTATACCTTGTCCCTATTCGCATAATTTTGTTTGCCTCGAGTTACATACATGCTTTATTCTGTGTTAACATTGCACAGCATTATGAAATACGGTAACATTCTTAGAATAATAATCATAACATGGGTGCGTTATACAAAAGTTTGAATTGGGGCTCATATGGGTTGATCTACTCAAATACTGACTGCAGTAACATATCTACATAAGAAGAACAACGGAAGCCATTGATATTTATATATGAAACACATACCAACTGCTAACTCGAGTTCAATATAATAACCTCCTCTTATGGCTTTAGCAATCTTTGCAGAGATCTTTTTAAAGACTGCTCGTCCACTGTTACTGTCATTTAGATGGCATTTAAAGGTTAATAGCGGCAAGTTTTGAAGGCGTAATGAAATGAATAACACAGTACTGCCAAGTGTCTGAACAGACTGGGGTTTGTCCTAAATTGATTATAGGACTACACGAAACATTCTATCTACATAATCAATGTTCACACGCTCATAACTAACATGTCTCGCTCACTGAGCTGTAGGCAGATATTAAGCATAATAATAATAATTACCGAAAACGTCTACCATTAGGGTGAGATCCCGCAAGGCTGTTTGTATGACCGAAATTTGAAAATACTTAAGGAGTTATTAATTAAAAAGTAAACTGATTGCAAGATGTGATTGGAAACATAACTGAGCCGCATAGTTCTGTAGTTTGGCTGGTTTGGCTTAAATGTTGCAATTTGGTTTTAAGTTTAGCATAAACATTTTGCTTTGCTCTCTTTTCCTGGATAAACATTCAGTCGAGCTGAACCAACATTTGACCGAATTTTGGGTTTCTCAAAAATGTTTCTAATTTTGAAAAAATTGATTCAGCATGACAAAAATTTCTCAGCGTGCAGAAATCTATCAACAGATTCTGGGAACCTAATGAATTCTGATGACAATGACTAGAGAGGTTTTTTTTTTTTATGAAGCCCATATCAGGCCCTAAACAAGTCCTGTTGATAGAACTCCGGTTGAGATTGATGGGAGTAAGTTCGAGAACAGCAGACGATCCATGTTCTGCTTTAGGGCATCTGTTCTGCAAAGTAATTCCACATGTTTGTCTGTTAGTGGATAGTAACTGTATTCTGTGACTTACAATTGTTCAACTTTTTCCTTGTTATAAAAAAATGCCATATTCCCCAAAGTATTTTAGTCATCGATAAAGCTTTTTTCCCGAGGAAAGAATAGTAAAGAATGAGAAGGTTTGTTCTCAGTGAACAGGGACCCTGGAGATTGACCAGACATCGTCTCAAGAAGCAATCTGAAAAATAGTATATTTTCACTTTTGATGTCTTATATACCTAAAATAAGGGCAGGAATTAGAACAGGGAGATACTCCGACCAATAGACTACCCATTGTTTCAAGATTCACATATTATGCTTTCTCTGTCGTGGGAAATGTAATCAAGAAACTCATCCCAGCACCATCTGGTCCATTGAAAAGCAGCCAGTGTATATCATACCGGTACATAGGAAGACAGAGGGACCCAGAGGAACTCTGATACATATTACTGCATGAGAGTAATGCATAGAGACAGAACCACTGCTCTTCTGTACCGTAACACTGTAACACAAACTGCGTACCACACTCAATGCTATCACACACTGCACCATTACACACTGCTGTAACACTGAACTGTAACACAAACTGCGTAATACACCACACTATCACACACTGCACCATTACACACTGCTGTAACACACTGCACTGTAACACAAACTGCGTAATACACCACACTATCACACACTGCACCATTACACACTGCTGTAACACACTGCACTGCTCTTCTGTACCGTAACACTGTAACACAAACTGCGTACCACACTCAATGCTATCACACACTGCACCATTACACACTGCTGTAACACTGAACTGTAACACAAACTGTGTAATACACCACACTATCACACACTGCACCATTACACACTGCTGTAACACACTGCACTGTAACACAAACTGCGTAATACACCACACTATCACACACTGCACCATTACACACTGCTGTAACATACTGCACTGTAACACAAACTGCGTAATACACCACACTATCACACACTACACCATTACACACTGCTGTAACACTGAACTGTAACACAAACTGTGTAATACACCACTCTATCACACACTGCACCATTACACACTGCTGTAACACACTGTACTGTAACACAAACTGCGTAATACACCACACTATCACACACTGCACCATTACACACTGCTGTAACACACTGCACTGTAACACAAACTGCGTACCACACTATATGCTATCACATACTGCACCATCATACATTGTTGTAATACACTGCACTGTAACACAAACTGCATAACAAACTGCACTATAACACACTGCATTATCACAAACGGTGTCACACTGCACTATCCCACACTGCACCATTATACACTGCTGTAACACACTGCACTATCACAAACTATGTAGCACACTAAACTATCACACACTGCACGACTACACACTGCTGTAACACACTGCACTATCACACACCGTGTAGCACACTAAACTATCACACACTGCACAATTACAAACTGCTGTAACACACTACACTATCACTCATTGTGCTGTAACACACTTCACTATAACAAACTGTGTCATACTGCACCATTCCACACTGCACTATCACAAACAGTGCAACACACTACACTGTTACATACTGCTGTAACACATTACACTATCACACCTTGTGTAACATACTACACTATCACACACTGCTGTAACACATTGTAATACACAGCTATATTTACCAAAACTGTAACACACACAGCACAATCAAACACTGCTATAAGTACAGACTACTGTAATGCACACACAACACAACCATGCAGCTCAACTACATGCCTCTGTAACAAACACAGCACAACTACACACTAGTGTTACACACACTGCGCCACTACACAATGGTATTACAATACTACACAGAGACAAAGAATCAGTATTTTACTTGAACACCTACAGCACTACAATTATTTATATAGCGCCAACATATTCTGCAGGGCTGTACAATAGGTAAACAAGACAAACATTCAATTCTAATAAAACACAGATGACATGTGGAAACAGGTGAAGAGGGCCCTGCCCACGTTAGCTTACAATCTAAATGGGACAAATACACAAAGGAAAGTGAAGGAATCAGTATGTACCTAAGGAGGCCAGGGGAGTTTTTAAGGAGGGAGTCCGGTAGATTGGAGGTGGCAGAGGAATGGTGTAGGGGATGAGGAGTGAAAGGGACATGAGAGACAAATTGAAGTGCACATTGAAGTGGTCTTGGTGCAGTGCCCCTGTCACTTTAAACCTTCAATGGTGATTATTGTAGTTATTGAGAGACTGCAATAATTGCCTTGTAGTGTTAACTCCACCTCAAGTGGCTATCTACCAGACAATGCTTACCTATGGGGTTGTCTTAATGCGATCGCCGCACATGCTCATCAGGTCCCACAATGTCGGGGAGGAGGAGCGAAGGAGGAGTAAGTGACAAAAGGGTTCAGGTAAATGACAAAAGGACTTTTAATCAAGAGCGGTGTGATATGAGAACCCTTGGGTCTAAGGTAATAGCTTGGCAGAGGCATTCATTATGGACTGTAGAGGAGCAATTCGGGAACTTTTCAATCCAACAAGGGTTAATATTTTCAGTCCAACAAGGGTTAAGGCTGGAGAGCATGGACAATCATTTTGGCAGTGTCTTGAGTGAGAAAGGGACAAATGCAAAAAAAAAATTTAAAGTAAAATTGACAAGATTTGGTGATAGATTTCATGTAAGGGGTGAAGGAAAGGTCAGTGTTAAAGAGCACACCAAGACAATGCATCTGCAGAGTATACGTCATGATGTCATGATTACACCGTTGACCTTAAGCAGACACAGATATGTCTATAGAGGGAGGAACGATAAGGAGTTTGTTTTTAGAGAGGAGTTTAGGAACCGTGAACTCATCAAGTAAAAACATAGATGTTGCTTTTTCTTTTGCCATGTTTCATATCGATAAACCTCTCTTATCATTCTCTCTTCAACTTTTCAGTTGCCCCGTATTAGGAGGTCCGTGCTTGGCCTTTGCCGTTTCTGCTGTGGATGTTGCAAGAAGATGAAAGGATGTGGCATGTGTTGTCGGACCTGATGTGTTGTCAATGCCTGGACATTTTTATTATCACCTTCACTGAATAATCCATGGAATTTGAGGCTTGTGGACATTTATACTTCCTATAAAACGCCTTCCATTCCATTACCCCCAATAAAGCACCTTTAGACAAAATCATGAATGATTTAAATCAGCAATAGAAAAACATCTTCCTAAATTAAATGATCTTCTAGATTATATCTCCCAGTCAGGTACCTCAACACATAAAAGTATCAAAATGATTTATCCCCACAACAAGAGATGATATCTCCTCTAGAGATGTCGCGAACCGTCCGCAAACTTCTCGCGAACGGTTTGCCGCGGTTCGCCACGAGCTGTTCGCGGCGAACTCCGGTCAGCTGACACGTCCCGGCCAATCTTCAGCAGACCCTCCCTCCCAGACCCTCCTACTTCCTGGACAGCATCCATGTTTCCAAAATGGGAGGGAGGGTCTGCTGGAGATTGGCTGGGACGTGTCAGCTGACCGGAGTTCGCCGCGAACAGCTCGTGGCGAACCGTGGCGAACCGTTCGCGAGAAGTTCGCGGACGGTTCACGACATCTCTAATCTCCTCCGATCATCAAGAAGATACCAACCTATGACATAAATATCACGGAGATAGACCCCCACCAAAAAAACACAGAGTGGATATCTCCTCCACTTAATAATGTTCAAGGAAATATTTGGACACCACCAGACAATCACTGGCTTGTTTTAAAGTTCCAGAGACATATCTCCTCATCATTGCAACAAAAAATAAGATTTTTTACAGAATTATCCATTCTTCTATGAACTGCACCAATTAAGTTTACCTATCAAATCATCCACATGAAGCCATTTATGAAGAAAAGTTTGAAAGCATCATTAGTCGTAGGGGAAATATGAATACAAATACAATTTGTGTTAAAATGTTATCAAACCAGTTTATATCCAGATTGCCTATAAATCAAGTCATTGTGCCCCATTTGTTATCACTTTATATTTTATTATGCCCAAGTTTTCTGTTTTCCTCAGTGTGTATAATCTTATTGTATATGGTACTTAGGTCGGTTTATTTGTTTGAGAGAGCAGATTACCTCAGGAACACTATCACAGATATGTCACATAGCTTCTTTTTAAAGTATATTTGCTATTAATGCATATTTGTCACCTTGGAGACTTTTTTTCTTATTAAGTTTATTGTGTAAAACGTACATTACTCTCTGACTCTATTGTTCAAGAATTGTCTATCACTGCTCTGGAACGACCAGCAAAACAAACAAAATAAACAAGCTTTAGTTTTCAAATAGTATAGATTTTAAGGTTATAGGCTGTGTGGTATTTGACCTCTAAAAAAATAATGTTTTGTGCCTTTACATGCAAATCCTGTCTAATTATTCAATTGTATATCCTGAACAAACATCCAATTTCCCAATTCCTTCATTTAAAGTTGTCTGGGAGTATCAGCTTCTGTCAGTGCCATGGTGTAAATAAAGTTATTCAAATTAGATCAGAATAAATGCTCCCACAGAAGTGAACATTTGACAAGGTATTTAACCGCATATATTGCCTAAAATACTTTATTAGCTAAGCAGTAAATTAAAAATGAAAAAAAAAAAAATTACTAAATAGCTAAGTTAGCTATGTAGGAATATTTGAGAATATTTTAATACTGATTTTTTTTTTTAATTCTCTACCTTTCCCTGTTTAGAGAATATACGCATTTAAAATAATTATGTCAAACAGTGTGTATAAAATGCGTAGCCTTGATTTGAACAATGCTGCAATTGGTCATCTGTTATCATAGCAGCTCTACTTCACCACTAGGGTTTCTGTTAAGGGGAAATTAGGGTCAGGAGGCTTAAGGATTGATGATCTCTGGTTCAATCGGATGCTTCCCTTAAGAGAAGTGTTGTGGACCTACTGTGAATGCCTATGAGAAGCATTAAACGCATTAGGCCAAACTTGAAGATCTCCTAAAATCGAAAAAGGCCCAGCAGGGTCCCAGGTAGGAGGGCAATGGTTTGCTCCATTACCAGGAAACTGGGACAGGATACTTCTGTCATCATAACCTCTACAGCAGGCTTTGATACAGAAGAAATGCCTCTAACAGATGTCTGTCCAACAGAAAATGGCACTGTTTTACACCATAAAAGAAAGGAAACTTGATTTTTGTAATGAAACCACTGCATTCATAGGTTGAGCTTTTTGTGCTTAGAGTAGAGTCTGCCTTTCAGGAGTGAGTACACTGCTGTGTTATAAACAGCACTAAAGGGCACTGCTTCGATCCCCCACACATGGTTTTCCAATATTAACTCTGGATTGCTCTGCTTTCTAAAATACCACTCATACAGAGACTGAGAAGGCTCAAAATGCCAATGTCCTGCTTACAAATGCAGATTTATAGCAAACTCGTCAAATAAAACACATAATTAAGATTTTATAATAGCATTCAAATAAACTGAAAATGAATTTCTCCAGTGGAAGCACTTGACTAACCTGTCTGCCCCAATAAAATACAGATTTCAATCTACATGAAATGGAAACACCGACTATTCAAAACTAAATTAATTTTCATTATTTGTTTATGAATGATAATAGTCTTTGGTGCTCCCCTTGCAATATAGATTTAACTGCACCTTTGAAATATGTCCAGCAGTTTGAATAATATTTCCCAATATTTCTCATTGTATTTACCCATTCTCTTTGTGAGGACCGGGGAAAGAATTACCCTTTTTTTAATTCAACTAGTAGGAAACTGGTTTTGACCAGCAGCCTGCAGTACCCAATTCTAGTGTCAACCCCCCAACCCATCCCCACCCCTTTCTCGTGCATACATTAATGGGATCATTAATCTCTGATGTATTTTTCTTTTTTTTTTATTATTCAGCAAAATGAAACTAAAAACAACTTTCCTCGGCAATGTATATATCCCTGTAAATTGGGTGAATGAATTCTGAATTAGAACCCACTTGAATCAATCTGAAATGGTCCTGAATATCTCCAAACAGTTCATAAGTAGCACCTACTGCTCAGAAGTTGATCAGGAGTGGTGTCCCATATAAAATAAACTGGCCTGTTGACTACAGTGCTAGATTCTGGTCCACAAGGATTTATATGGTATCCTCCATTCCATCTGCTCCAAACCTAAATCTACTTTTCAAAAAGTATCCAAGATGTTCATACATGTAAATATGTAGACTGGTCCAAGGCAACATGCTCACTGATAGAGCACTTTGGTTTTGCCATTCTTGCACCTAACATAGATCTTGCACAGATGCAGAACTCACTCACATAGTGAGGAGAAAAAATACGACTTTTCAGTAAACTCCGCAGAGCCAGTTTTTAACCCTTTCACTCCTGTTTAAGGCTGAGTAATCCATTACCCCCTTTTGAAGGGAAGCATTAAGACAGATGATAATTTAAACAGCATAGAACAGAGCGTGGAATAATTTGTTTCCATACTCTATGATAAGTCATTAATAATGGTAGGCGTTAAAGTATTGCTTTTCAGATCTGGTATCAAACTACAATTCCCACGACCACTCACCAACTGCTGGATTCATATTTCATCAGCAGCAGGAGACAGATTATGGTTGCCTACCCCATATCTAAATGACAATATTGTATGACAAATTTAATCAAGATTGCTAAGGAAGAACAGTTTGATCTTATTATGGTCCTCACTAAGACGATTTCAAAAGCACAACAAATATCAGTTTTTAAAAGGTCAACACGATATATAAATGGGAGTTTGTTGGCTTATCTATCCTCATCTTTTCTGTTCTCGGCGCCTCTTAATGTGAATTGCTTAGATATATCTAATTTTGCTCTTTTCTTTCCGACTGACACATGCAGGTATCTCTCACTCAAGGGACATCACTGAGGGGTAATAGCCATTAATACATATTAACAGTTATTCACATGAATGGTTGTTAATGAGCAATACTAACTGTCACCTAAATGTGAGTATATTTCAATGTGTCCTTATCTTGCGTGACTGTCTTTGGTTCCATTGCTCTCAAGATACAAATATATCTCTTTACACTTGGACTCTTCATGATTACTTACCCATCTACTTGAAGGTACAGTGACGGGTTAATAGAATGTTATTTAAGTAAGCCTTTAAGAGATTTTTTTCATGTCAAATTCCCTTCCAAAATCCTACATTTTTTATTTTCAGACTTGAAGTCAGAGGGTGAAGGGTTCACATCCCATCAGGTATGCAGTATTCAGTAATAAGTTCCCGTAAATTTGCAACAAATATATTAAAGCATAATCATGATGTAAGGATTGCTCTACTTTGAAGATTTTAAAAGTCCCTTGATACTTTTAAACAGTCTCCATTTTTATTCCTTGTCTATCTATTTGGGCACCATAAAGTGACTCTATAGTCCCCATGTCAAAGTCACTGTGACTTTGAAACCATGCAGGGAGCAGAGAAAGAGAGTCAATTTCTCTGTAGATCTAATGGGTTCTTCGGGACTCTTTAGACATGGCTTGTGCTTTTCATCAATCCTGCTCTTTTTGGTATTCTTGATCATTTACACGAGGGCTAACAGATGTCCTTTTTTAACCAGGAACTGATGAAAAATGTTTACTGTCATAGTAGATAGTGCACTGTTCAAATATAATGCTGTCTGATTAAAAATAAGGTAAGTTAACTTTAATAATTTTATGTATTTCTCTTTTCAGTTGGAAATTCCCTCTGCTCCTACAGTAAGAGTCTGTACTTATTACAAATGTTTAATGGACACTAAAGGTACCCAGATTACTTTATCTAAATTCAATGGTCTGTGTGCTGTCATCGTGACAGCTACTAGAGGCACATCCACTGCAATAACTGAAATAGACTGGATTATTTAATTAAGAGATCATTTGATTTGCGCAGCTCTGCATTTTGTACACTAGCCTCCAACTGCTTCCTTGGATTGGCTGAGATCATCAAGATCCATGATCTCAGCTGAGGAGGTCGGATGGTCAGAAAGAGACCATCATGTCACAGGAAATAAAGTAAGTAAATCTTACCTTTTAAACCCCGAAAGAGAGGGCCAGAGACATAAATAGTTAGAATAGCACAATAG